GGTGTAATGGCCTTTTTCGCCTAAAAATAATATTTATATTTAAAGGCCGTTGTTGTGGCGTGCGTGGCGTATTCAGATTATAACCCAAGTTGGAATGGACCATGAGGAAGAAGAAGAGGGCTCAAAAAAAGGTGGATAGAAGAAATAGAAGCGGTAGCACGAAGCGAATGGAGAAAGAAAGCCATAGACGGAGTCAGTCTTGGAAAAAGCTGGATGAGGCCCGTGAAAGGGTTCCGATCGACGGTACTGAAAGTAGCTGGGATATTAGAATAACAAGAAAAAAATGTATATTACAAATCAGCCTTGCGATTCTGTAGCTCACTTTTCGAACTCACACAGCGGTTTTCGCATCAGCGGTCGCTCTCAAGTCAGTCGTGAAGCAGTCATTTTATGATTTGGCATTCTGATAAACAATAAACTACAAGCTTCCACCTTTTCAGAATGCCAAATCATAAAATGACTGCTTCACGACTGATTTGAGAGCGACCGCCAGTACGAAAACCGCTGTGTGAGTTCGAAAAGTGAGTTACAGAATCGCAGGGCTGAGCTGTATATACTTTTGTAAGGATTGGAAATTGAACGGGCTTTTATTGTTATACTTATTATTAAAGCCCAGGTAGTACGGGAGGTAGCAACGTTTTCGAGAAAGAATTTCAGGGCAGCTGATTTTGTGATATGTCTTCCTTCTTGCACTTTCGGTTAGAGTCTGGGCAATCTGGCTGGCGGTAGCGGTTGCGTTCATTAGTGCGCATCCTATCTGTCCAGGTAATAATCCTGGATTTTTAAAGCATTTTAAGAAGCGTAATTTTTAATTTTTCGTTTTTAAATAAGTCTACCTGACATACTTTTTTTATTGCCAGACATTTTTCACATTGCTAACTATATGCCAGACGCGATTTTAAGTTTTTTTCTATAAAAATTTCAAAGTATTTTAGAATGTCTGTAATTTTAATATTATGTTATTTAAATATAAGAAATACTAAAAATGAATTTGCCAGACATTAATTCGATTGTTAAGCCTTGAATTAAAATGAAAAAGTCATGAAAAGTGTTGCAGTATGATGCCTTTCATTGGTAATAAAAACATTTACGTAAGTTTTAATAAATGTTATTCATACAAAGTGATAAATAACTAAGTAATTAAAACTATTGAAGAATCATTATCGTGTGAAGAACACAAAGAAGCTGATTCTAGGATTATTTTTCATATTTGCCAAATCAATTTTGACGCAGAAGTTGTTATACGCTGTTCTGATTCTGAACAAAAAATAAATAAAAAATAACGCTTCTTAAAATGCAATGCTTCATCATACTGCAATACTTTTCATGACTTTTTCATTTTAATTCAAGGCTTAACAATCGAATTAATGTCTGGCAAATACATTTTTAGTTTTTCTTATATTTAAATAACATAATATTAAAATTACAGACATTCTAAAATACTTTGAAATTTTTATAAAAAAAAACTTAAAATCGCGTCTGGCACATAGTTAGCAATGTGAAAAATGTCTGGCAATAAAAAAAGTATGTCAGGTAGACTTATTTAAAAACGAAAAATTAAAAATTACGCTTCTTAAAATGCTTTTAAAATCCAGGATTATTACCTGGACAGATAGGATGCGCACTAATGAACGCAACCGCTACCGCCAGCCAGATTGCCCAGACTCTAACCGAAAGTGCAAGAAGGAAGACATATCACAAAATCAGCTGACCTAAAATTCTTTCTTTTCAAACGTTGCTACCTCCCGTACTACAGGTAGGCACAGAAAGCTGAGATCAATAAAGCCTTTATAATAAATTGTTTTTTAAAGTTAATGTTTTAGTTACACAAACTCAAACTCAATAAAAGTTTGACTTATTTACGTCAACTGAAAAGATGTTAAATTGATTCAAAATTTACATTTACTACCAGTTCGCAAGTCAAGGGCGTAGAGCGGGCAAGAAGAACTGGCAAGAAACTCTCCGCCACTCTTTTTAATCGCCAAGTTTTGAGTCATACAAATTGTTTGAACCGGAGCAAATCAATCCAGGATTACGATCATTTAATTATTCGTCAAATTTATAAAAAGCTTTATTGATTAGTTTACGTTTAACGAGAGTTATGAATTTATTTAGTGATAATTCTCTAATTTCGCTTGGGAGTTTCTTGTAAAAACGAACACAATTTTCATAAAAGGAGTGGTTTATCTTCTGGAGCCTGATTGGTCGTACGCTTAGATTAGTCCTCTTTCGAGTAATGTACTGCTAAACTAATATAACAAAAAACTTTAACGGATATAAACACGAATGTAAGGTATATTAAATTTACATAACTAGATATTTCGAGTTATTTTTAAAAATGGTGGCGAAGGTTATGCAATATTGTTTCGATTAAGAATTTGTGAATTCCACGATACGTTATACCTTTAAACTTAGTTAACTAGATTACATATTTAAATAAAAGTTAACGGAAGTATATGAAAATTGTTTAAATTTTATTTGTTGAAATAAAAAAAAATATTGGCTCCAAAACTACACTTATATACGCCGAAGTCACTTCATTACTTCCCACTTCAAATGTTTTAAGGTTGAAAAAAACTCATGCTTTATAACGTCGTAGCATTAACTAATATTGGGATTAAACGCTCTAACGTATTAAAGTTACGTAACACAACGTTTAGAGCGCTTTAAAGCTGTTGTTAGCGAGAAGTGTAAGTTGTATGATTTTTTTTTAAAGAACTGGGGCAAACCTGATGTTAAATGATATGGACACTCTCAATGCTAGATGGCTCGCGAGTGCATTGCCGGCCGTCTATGAATTGGTAAAGAAAAATGCATTAAATACTTCTAATTTTACATTTACTGCCAGTTCTCAAATCAAGGACGTAGAACGGAAGAGAACAACTGGCAATAAACTCTCCGCCACTCTTTTTAATCGCCAAGTTTTTTGTTTTACACAACGTTTGTAAGGAGCTGCAACCATTACACCATGTTCCACATGACATCTTAAGTAATATATAATCTTAATAATAATAATTTCTGCCTCGATGTCCGATGATGAAACTGGCACACGCTACACGTATTGTGTGCAGGTATATAATGTGAACTAATAAAATAATAGTACCTCCGAATCCCTTTTGCATCTAGAGCCTCCAAACTAAACAGAGCGCGATTTCTTAGATTCTCCAAACTTGTTTTCGTCATACATGCCATGAGCTTTGGTAGCTGCCGTTTCTTTGGTAATTGTGGGTCCTCCATTATTTATTTTTATTATTTTAAAAACTTAAAACGTTCGTACTAACAACATGCAAATTGCTCGTTGACATTTGTTGGGATCATAAATAAGTTGTCAACTGTCAAATTCGTTAATTAGTTTTTATACTTATCCTTGAATAGATATGATCTGTGAATGATAATTATAATCTTAGAGTTTTGTAGCCAAAATTTAGGTATTATGATTCGGACGTATTATTATTTTAATTAGTTTACATTATATACCTGCAGCTGAGCTTCATCAAACGGACGTCGAGGCAGAATACGAAATTCCACCCGTATCACCACGACGTCCGTCGTTCCACAACTGAGCATATTTTAAGGCAGTTTTTGCCGCGCACCACTACTATGTGGAACTAGCTACCCACTGAAGTATTTCCGATCAAAATTAACTAAGGGCTCAAGAAAAGAAGCAATTCTTAAAAGGCTGCAACGCACTTGCAAGCCCTCTGGCAAAATGAGTGTCTATTACTATCACTTAAGTTAATATAAATAACAATAATCTTTAACTAAAAATCTAAATAATAACAATTATTATTAAGCACACTATTACACAGTGTATAATGTAACGTCATTACAATATTTATGATATTGATGTTACATTCTAATTAGGTCCAGAACGTTATAGAATTTACGCAAATTATATGCAACAGTATGCTATTATGTGATCAGATGATACTACTTATATCACAGAATCTAACGCAAGGTTTATTGAATATACTACAACAAATCGTATTTTAAAGTATCATTTAATTTCGTTAATTAAATAATCAAGGTCCAGGTGATGTCGTTAAATTAAATCGTTCAGAAATAATAAATTAGCCTACAATTTTTTACGCGACCTCGTAGAATTAAAAATTATATTCCATAGATATTATAAACCCGAAACACATCCACAGTATGAATTAAGTTTCACATTAAACTATCATTGTTGTTATTTTATGATTATATTTAAATCTTTTGCATACGTTTTTAGGTCAAATAACGAATAATTCATGAGATATTTTAATCGATGGCAAAGTACAAGTGTCATCCATAAATAAATTACAGCTGGCAAGAGTGCGTCAGTGCGATAGTGAGAATAAGAAAAAAACGACGGGTTGCACTCCGGGAGTGCCGGCAGAAGTGATAACTTGAAAATTAACGTTCTGCATTTTTGATATTTTGGAATGGTTAGGGAATAATTTTGCACGAATAGCTTTAATAAAGTACTATCAGTTATGTGGTAGAATACTTTATTTATTGCGCTATTGTACACAGACATGACAATTTATATAACATTAAATACGCCGCGCCAGCTGTCTACTCTCTATCCGTCTTACGAATTTTCGATCAGGTCACGTATCCTGACGCGAGTTTAACATGTTTACCCATTCCAAAAAAAGTGTACAACGCCGCTAAAGAAGTTTTCACTTAAAAAATTTTTTTTTAAATCTTTTTCACATCACTAACAACAAAATAAAGTAAAGAAAAAACAGTGCGCTGAAAGGAAAATTGCATTGGTATATCACACCCGCATCTAGACCAAAAAGTATTTCAACAACAGACGGGTGATGTACTTGCCAATAAGAAATAGATAGAACTTGAGTCCAAGACCCATATAGTGTAGCTACTTCTAATTTAAATTACACTATCGCTTTCATATAGTAAAACGGAAACATGTTTCGTTTGGAAACGACTTTACTTCGTAAATACGAAAGAAATATAACGATTACATTTACACATACAAATTACTTCAGAATAACAAATCACTTTTTCGTTGACTCTATGTTCTTTTCGTTAGATGTTTCTTCTATAGCTAGGGGCTGCGCAGAGTCAACTGGTTTTGATAGAATCGATTCGTTTCTAACAATATCGGTATCAATTTCTTCTGTTTCATCAGATCCATTTTGTTCCTTCTTTTTCTTTGCTGTTTTCATTGCTGTTAACATTTCTGTAAAATATATCATTATGTTTACGAAATATCCCGTGTCCTACCGAGATACCTAAGTCAGGGATATTTTAAACCCTACAACGGTGCTACGGGATTCGAAGAAGCTGCTCCCCTTATCCAAGAATATTCTTTAAATCTATAATCTAATAGTAGACTCGGCCAAGCGTTGCTCTGGCTAAGATTTTTGTTATATTACATAGTAGTAAACTATTCAAGGGAAACGGTAGGAGAACTTATGTGAAAGGTAGATGACAGCTTATGTGAAACGTTGATAATTTTAACACAGCGCCATCTGTTAGAATTGTATCAAATAATAAACAAATATTTTGCAATAAATTAAAATTGCGACTATAATTTGAGATTTAAACTATCCTATCTCTCAAGTTGGATCGAACTGCACATGGTGTGCAAATTTGATTGATATCGGTTCGGTAGTTTAGGAGTCCATTGAGGACAAACATTGTGACACGAGATTTATATATATTAAGATGGTTTTAGCGTGTAAACACCCTAACAGGACTTTGAAAACAATACACATTTGAATGATTTCCTGTTTCTATTGCTTTTTTACTTGAGTTCTTAAATTATGGTTTTTGTTAAAGATAAATAGTTATTATAAATAATTATAATAGTAAAAATAGTTATTTTATTTCTAACTTATATTAAAACAACGCAATAGTATGATTAATTTTTTATGAGCGGTAGCTTCTAGTGGACCTAAAGATTTAATTTTCTATGGCAATTAATTTACGATTTTACCGTGTGGGACGTTAAAAAAAAGCGTTACTAAATAGATATATAACCTCAGTGTAATAAGTATTACGTAAAATAAGTTACTGCTAAACTCGCAAAGCATAACATTCCAATGGATAAAAGGCCAGTTAACTATAAAAGACACTGGACTTGTTCTGTTCATTAATAGTGGAAAAATCCAAATGTTTTCCTAGCTAGAAGGCCTTGTAAAAACACAAAGGTCGAGGTAAGTTATTTGTTTGTTCTCATTATTTATATTGACATAATATAATAAACGAGCAATGTTGGCCTAGTGGCCTCAGCGTGTGACTCTCATCCCTTATGTCGTAGGTTCGATCCCGGCTGTGCACCAATGTACTTTCTTCGTGAGGAAACCAGCTTGCCTTAGACCCAAAAAGTCGGGGCGTTTGTAAGGTACTGGAGGCTGATCACCTATGGGAGGATGATCATGAAACAGATTCAGAAATCTGAGGCCGACCTCAAGAGGTAGTAGCGCCACCGATTTTTTTAAATATAATAAACAGTCGCAAATATAATTATTCTTTTTAATATAGATCCTGTGAGAAACCCCTAAAAGACACGAGCTAGCAAATTAAAATAAAATATACCTACTAACCGCGTCTGAATTTTGCTGACAATGGCATTTAATGTTTCTGGCGAATTCCGAAGAGAATTAACTTTTAAGTCTTTAAAATTGCTAATTTATTCAGTTACATCTGACAGCTTTGACAGAGACGTAGATAAAAAATCATAGACTTTTTGAACGCAACACTTGGTGGAGCTTAGGTTGCTGTGGCTCTGTAGAAAAATTTAATACAACAATAAAATATAATAAAAATGATTTTAGTTTATATTGTCTTAAGTCAAATTTGTACTACATAATTCCGACTGAAGGACTTGCAGCCATGGTCATGTAATAAATTAATGAAATTAAAAGTATGCGTGGCGAAAACCTTCGTGGTTAATGTCTTGCTGTCTTTTTCACGAAAGTTTTCCCATAAAGCGGATCTAAAGTTGTCAATTTTGACAGATCGGCCATAATTGTCGTTGTCTATGCGCTTGTGTTTTGACGCTAACAAATAATGTTCGCAAGAGAGTCGCCGCTATGACAGGTAAATTTTGAAATATTTTTTTTTATTTATTTATTAGCCGGATACAAAGGGTAAATTTTGATTGAGTTTAGGGTTGCAAGTTATGAGACCTTTATCAACCTATATTGGTCTTTATATTTTTACTAGCACCCTCGGCCAAGCGTTGCTGTGGCGAAGGTTTTTGTTATATTATATTGTAGCAAACTATTCAAGGGAAACGGTAGGAGAACACCAGTCATGGGGAGCACCATGCTTTTTTGGTGGTTATGCCAATTAATTGTAGCTTATTTAAAACGTTGGTACTTTCAACACAGTGCCATCTGTTAGAATTGTGATTGTCAAATAATAAACAAATAATTTGTAATAAAATAACATTGCGGGTATAAATTTGGATATAAGCTATCTTTTAAGTTAGATCAAACTGCACACAATCGGCTTAGTAGGTTAGGAGTCCATAGCGGACAAACAACGTGACGCGTAATTTATATATATTAAGATTGGATAAATGATAAAGGGCAGTTTTCTAGTTAGTAATTATAATAATAAAAGTAAGGAATTCAGTAAAAGATAAGTACTTTACGTTTTAAACTAACTATTGTTTCAGACGTGTCTGAAATAACTGTAGCAAGAATATTACAACAAGGAAATTCTTCGAATTAATTGTCACTCCGGGTCAAAGTTGTCCACACAAAGAGTATCAATTTAGAAGATGAATATTTTAAAAACGATAGTTTTATAGATTAAGAAATGCACGGATTTATTATTTCCACAATGAATTACAGCGAAACTGAGTGATAGTGATTACAGTATATATGGAAGTAGTACAATGGATCATAATTATGCATTTATGCAATAAATAATTAACAGTAATATGTGTTTTACTTGAACTTACATGTATTACGTTATATTACAAAGTTCGAGATTCAAAGCTATATTGCAAAAGGATTTTCGGGTGTTAATATTAATCGATGCTGGCAACATTCCGTCACGCGATCACAGTCCTGCGTCTGGTTGACTTCCTTCTAAAAACGAACTTATAGTAATTGACAAATGGAATAAACTAGATATAATAAAGAAATCAACGAAGAGCGGGTTGCCTAGCTATAGATTACTTAGAGAGAAAAATAATATTCATAGTGTATTTAAATATTTTTTTTTACATCAGTCATGTTTTTTTCATAACAACATAGATAATTATTTTATTATTAACATAAAGCTGTCTCTCATAAATATACTCGTATATATATTAGGCTTGCATAGATATTAGTACATATATTATATTTGAGGAAAGACAGGACAATTACACGTAAGTCAAACGGTAATTGTTACTCTTTAATCATAATTAATAATATTGTTCTACAAATAGTTATTATGAAGCCGCTAGCAGTGATTGCTTTGTGGCCTCAGCGTGCGACTCTCATCCCTGAGGTCGTAGGTTCGATCCCCGGCTGTGTGGCACCATTGGACTTCTATTGGATTCCTATGTTTCATTTAACATTTGCTCGAACGCTGAAGGAAAACATCGTGAGGAAACCGCCTTAGACCCAAAAAGTCGACGGCGTGTGTCAGGCTCAGGAGGCTGATCACCTTGGAGCGAGGTGAAATACGCGATGGGGAATCACTGTGGACGCCCTCTGCCCCATCTAGGACATTTAGTTATTTCACGTGCATTTTTTGTAACTCTGTAATTATTCTATAAGAGACTTAGAAAATAATTTACGAACATCTCCTAACCCCGGAATTAACATTCAAGTTTGACTTTGAGGAAATTTCATTTTCCTTAAGGGAAAAAGAAAATTGTTTAAATGAATGTCGCTTTCAAAAGGACATTAGGTACGTGAGTATTTAACAGTTGAGTTTGTTTTAATTAAAAACCTTTCACTTTTCAGATAAAAATAGCATTATTCTATAATGGTTAAGGTAGCTAGAGTACTTTACTACTGTGTTCTACTGTATTGAAAATATAGTCTGCAAACGATTTATAATTATATATGTTACTGTAAAAGTTCGAACTACGGTTAATCTTAAGATTTAAGTGTAAGTCTTAGGATTTACCGACATGAGTTGGTAAATGTAAGAATTTCTGAAAATACGACGATTTTTTCGAGCTTTTACCATTCGAATTCAGTATATGCTAGGTTTTACCACTGTCACCTGGTAGATGTTGGTTTTAGGAATAAAACAATGAGTAATTCTTAATTATTTACTTTAATGTACTATTAGACAAAACAGGTACATAGTATTATAAAGGTATCATATGATAGTAATAAGTACAAACTAATACCAACTTATTTAAATTATTTTGAAAAAACACATAACGTATGTCTCTGAATATCTCAATCTCTATCATATCTATCTAACTGAATCAGTAGTTCTCTATTTGGAATTTAACAACGAAATACAAACATAATGCTTACATAAGCTAGTCTAACTTAATAATTATTTTTGTTTTTCAACATTTACCGTGCCATTAATGTAAATCCTAAGATTTACCAACGGAATTGTGGTAAGAGTTCGAAAGAAGAAGAATCACAAACCTTTTGGGACATTTACCATTAGGAATTGGTAGATCTTAGGTTTTACTGGTAGATCTTAGGATTTACTGCAGTTCGAGCTTTTACAGTAACATATACATTGAATAAAAATACTTTCGTTTGGACAACGCATGATTTCTGCACAAGTAAAAAATTGCGCCTGGAGGATTTTTTTTTCAGTTTAATAGAAGGCAAACGGGCTGGAGGCTCTGATGTTAAGTGCTACTGTCGCCCATGGCCTATAAGAGGCAAGTAATATGTAAGATTCTTCAGCTTTATGTATTTAAGATTCTAGAGTTATATGTATGCATACAACACTCGCTGGGCAGTTGAATTAAAACACATCTTTTATCTACTTGTTTTTTTTAAATATATAATGAGTCAAAATGGGCAGGAGGCTCACCTGATGCGTTCCCGGCCTTTTAAGAATTGAAAACTTTGATTGAATTAACTTGTGTCGGGCACAGCTCATCTACTTGCCCGTTGATTAAAAAATACCAAGTCCAAGCGTTGTAGTGCCACTGGTTTTATCATGACCTTCATATAGTGTTAAAATAGAGGACTCATAAAAATTAATCAGACTAATTGCAGAGAGATCCTGCATCTCTTTCTGTCAAATTGTGTAAACCCTTTGATGAAATGAGACAAGAAATCTTTCCGGGCTAATCATATCGAGACCATATGACTGACTGGACGTTTTCAAAAAAAAAAATTCAAAAATCATTTAATCATATAGGTAACATTGTACACTTATGACTTGTCAGTAAAGAAATACATAATATTAATGCTTCTAATTTTACATTTAGTGCCAGTTCTCAAATCAAGGGCGTAGAACGGAAGACAAGAACTGGCAATAAACTCTCCGCCACTCTTTTTAATCGCCATGTTTTTTTTTTACACAACGTTTGTAAGGAGCTGCAACCATTAAACCATGTTCCACATGATATCTTAAGTAATTAATAATAATAACATAAATTTAAAACAAAGAGTTGTTCTCTATCAGCAGGAGGCATGGTGAAATAGGAGCACGCACTTACATTCTCGTGGGAACAACACGCAAACACATAGTCGAAATAATTAACATCACCGCATACACGAATTCAAGTACGACCAGTCACCACAAGTAGCACCCGTTCACGAGTATGACGCATGGCCAGCCATCGGCCCTCTCGCCATATTTTAGGGAGAGAGACAACCCGACCCATGGACGCCGCCACAAGCAATGACATTTAAGCGAGCATGACGATCCTTGAAATGTGGACTTGGCTACATAAGAAAATAATAATAATACTGAAATAATTTGATACCACATGGATCACGGTTTGTTCCCACTTTACATTAAAACAGTCGTGGATGTTATCGATCGCCCCAGAGTCTGGAAATGCAGCCGAGAGATTCAGTCGCGTTACCTATTTATACTGGAGCAACTCATATCCAAGCACTAGGATCGTTTAAATATTCATTTATATTATAATAAGCCTTAGCAAGCAGTTTTACTTTCATGTACGATTTAAATTTATTTATTGACAACACTTGTATCTCACTAGGGATTTTGTTAAAAAAACGTATACAATTGCCTTGGAAAGAATTACTCGTTTTATGCAGCCTTCTGGTTGGTGCGCTAATTTTGTCTTTATTACGAGTACTATAATTATGGAAGCTACTATTCTTTTTAAAGATATCTATATTTTTCCGCACTTACAAAATATTCTCATAAATGTATTGACTTGCCAGAGTCAAAATATGTAATTCCTTAAACTGGCATCGGACCGACCCCCGTGGCGACAACCCACAGATCGCTCTTATAGCCCGCTTTTGCTCTACAAATATCGATTTAATGTCAGCTGAATTACCCCACAAAATAACACCATATGACACAATTCTATGAAAATAGCTGAAATAAATGAGCTTTGCTGTGTTATCATCCGTAAGATCGCGTATCTTTTTTACTGCGAACGCTGCGGAACTTAGCATATTCGAAAGACCTTCTATGTGTCGTCCCCACCGGAGCTTACTATC